CGCGGGTCCCTCCCTCAGCCCCACCCCGGGCCGCCGACCTGGTCGGGCTCCGATTCATAGTCGTCGTCCTCGGCGCTCACGGACATGGCCATGGCTCATGGTGGGCCCAGCCTCGCGCGCGCTGACATGGCTGGAGCGCCGCCGCCGCCCGCAGGGAGCAGGCTCGGCTCACCCTGGCTAGCGCTCGGGCTCCCGCGCGGCGAGGAGGGAGCCGCCGCCACCGCGCGCCTCGCACGCCCGCGCGGGAGGGGGCGGGGCGGGGCCGGTGTTCATGCATATGCATGAGGCGAGCCAGGAAGGGGCTGGCCCCCCGGGCGGGCGGGCCAATGACGCGGCCGCGGTGCTCGGCCCGCACACAAAGGGAGCCCGGCCTGTGGTGACACGGGGGCGGACCCGTGGAGGGCGGCCGTGGGGCGCGTAGCACGGGGGACTGGGGCTGCGTGGGGGCGTGCCCCGCGCCCCGCCCGAACGGGTCCGCGCGCGCTGCGGGATACACATAGGTGGCTTGCACGGCGCCGCTGCCGCTGCCGCGGCTGCCACAGGAAATGCACACCCGTCTTGGGGTGGGGTCTTTTGTGTGGTCCCTCGGGGAGTCTCGTGAGTCCCCGGTCCAATGGCCACGGGAGACCACCCTACATGCAACGCCAGGCACGGGTTCCCAGGTCTCCTGCAGCAGGATCTGCGTGCGCTCGGAGATCGGGATCTGATGCCCTCGAGTCCAGAGGCCCCCCAGCCCAGAGCCGGCAGGCCTGTCGGCCTCAGAAGGAATTGGGGCCTCGGTCCTCTCTGCTCTTCTGTTTGCCTTTCCAGGTTGAAATTCAGGGTCAAATCTGAGGTGGTGCAGGCTCCAGCTGCTAGGAGCTGTCAGAGAGAATCCCCCAGACTTGGCCCTGAGGTGGACGTCGTACCCTCTTGGATAGAACCACTACTCTCTAGTGCCCAGGAGCTGACTTCAGAGAGGCTGCAGGTGCTGCAGTCCAGAGCACGATAATCTTAGAAGATTGGGCAGAGGAAAGGTGTAGGTTTCTGGATTCTTCAACAGTGAAGAATTCTTGCCATTTAACTCCGGAAACAGCGCAACACTGCAGAACGTCGTTGCTAGAAATCCAGACTGACCTTCATCCCCCAACAAAAAGTCTGCTGGCATTTGTGTCAACAGCCCTTCCCCTGAACGATCAGCTAATGACTTTTGCCCCAGATGACCAAAGTTATTACAAGCACCGAAATTACTGAAACATGAACTACTACGGAGGATGACTTAGCTAGGACAACTGATGAACATAATCACACATTTATCTGAGGTGACATTATGCATACCAGTAACTGCTGTTGCTCCATCTGTAAAATGGGAACGATTTACTGAAAGACTCTCTGGAGAATAAGCTCCAACAGTTGCAGAGTCAGAGGACCAATGTGTCGTGGGTATCCAACCGTTACTCTCACCTAGACCATTGGTCAGGACATCCACAGTGGGAATGGGGCACTGGCAGATTTGTTATGGCCTGGGCTTTCCATGAAGGGAGGAGACTTTATAAATTAAAGCTCAGGAGACTTCCAACAGAGCCACCAAGAGTACATAAGCAGGGATGTGTAGCGGAGTGGAAATTTATACACCCCACCGACGCTATGGAAAAACTCCCAGCTGACTTGCTCTTTTCTGAACACCTCTGTGCTGAGTTTCCTCTTACATTTCGTTTTTTTTTTTTTTACAGTCCATTCAAGGTTACTAGAGGGGGGAGCATGGCAAAACACGACCCTACACAGACTTCCCTCTACCCACAAAGCTGCCCACGTATATAAGCCCTTAGGAAATGCTCCACCCAGGAAGAAGCCAGGTAAAGAAGTTAGGAAGAGGAAGCCAGGCGGGGAATGAAGCTGACTAAGGGACTATAGTGTATCTCAGGAGTAGAGTGTGCCTGTCTAGGATATATGTGCCCAATATAGAAGAGGAAGAAGAGGAGGAAGAGGAAAACAAACACTTCTCTTTCTTTGTCATTGGTCATTATCTGCAAGGACAGAGACACCCAAGCAATATAATACATCAAGAGTAGTCTGCGAGTGGGATATTTTTCACCCTCACAGATCTCCCCGGTTAAGCACCAGAAGCACAAGTCTATTGACTAGAACTGACTTCGGCTGATTTCCTTGGAGGGCTCACAAAAAGATCACTTTTGTATTTAAATAAGTAAAATGACACAGCTCTCTTATCATGGCTCAGCCAGGAGAAAGGGACAGTGCTGCCACCCGAGCTGCAGGGAACACAAAAATCATTCCTTTCATCAGCAGCTCAGAACAGGGCGGGCCTTGGCAGGTGGATAAATGATAGAGAATCTCTTATCTAATGTCACAGGGAGGAAGCCCCCACAGCAGCGCTGCGTTCAGCATGCCCAAGATCATGATCTCATTTAAGATCATAGAATAGGTACGGCTTTGCCTTCCTGCCAGATGTGCACCACGGCACAGATGAAGAAATGGAGGTGACGAAAACAAATGAAACAAAACAAAACAAACAAACAAACAAACAAAAAGACATGGAGGTGAGAGTCGGCTAGGAGACGAAAGGATTCCATTCCGATCTGGTCCCAGCCCAAGGAAGAAGATGCAAAAAAATAAAACAAAACTGGTTTGTCACCTGGTCAGTTTTGGTGGCACATACCTCTGAGTGTAATACTCAGAAGGCAGAGAAAGGAGGGTCACTTGTCAATTCAGGGTCAGCTTGGTCTTAAGTATCGAGTTCTAGGCCTGGTTGTCACAATCCAACAAATGTGTTGGCTGAAGCAAAGAGGAAATGAAGCAACACACACACACACACTTACTAGATTTTTGTTTTGTTTTGAGATGGAGCCTTTTTTTTATATGTGGCCTTGGCTGGTGTAGGGCTTGCTTTGTAGCCAAGGTGGGTCTCAAACAATCCTGCTGCCTCAGCCTCTCACGTTCGAGAATGCCAGGTGTCTGCCACAATTTAATCATGCTAGATTTATAAATTGTGAATCCTCAGTTTACTAAGGAGGGAGTTAGGATGCTGGTAAACCAAATAATTCCTGTGTTAGGTTTTCTTCTAAACATAATAAGGTGCCTGCCAACCACAGTCCAAAGGCCTCTTACAGATTTCGAAGGGCTTCTTCTATCTCTCTTAACCAAATTTCCTTTAGCTAACTGGTACAATGATCCAACATCTGGTTTGTGTTGATAGAGTTCCAGGCTATATACAAGCAGAAACTACCTCGTCCCTTACCCGGCAGAACTGCTACCTGAGACTGTACTGTTTGCAATGTGCTGATCTTTTCTTGGCCTGGCCTCATCGTGAATAACCCTGAAGAATTGAACCTACTCCTTGCTCTGTGTAGCCAGAACTTCCTTATGTTCTTAGAAAGTTTTCAAGGCTGATGCCACCCATGCCGCCCAGACAGATGGTGCTTGCCCTGAGCCAAGGGGGTCTAGAACTTTCACCACATGATGAGGAAGTAAACACACGGGTGCCAAGTTCTCCCAGGTCACAGGCAGCACCCACTCTCTTTCTTGTTCTTTGGGTACTGAATATTCCTTCTGTACCTATCAGGTTCTAAGACCTCAGGAATGTTCCCTGGTTCTGCCCAGACTTGGCTTTATCCCAGGGTGGAGAAAAGGTAACGTACTGAAATGAAAGGAAGCAGAATACATTGAAAGGGGGAGACTCCTTTATGTATGAACGGAAATATACCCACAACCTAGAATACAATGCAGAGCCAGGACCTGCACATCTAAGATTTACGGCCTTTCTTTATAAAGCAAGCGACAGAAAGGTGTGTGCAAAATGCATCATTTAAATTGAGCCTGGCAGTATGTGCCTAGAATCCCAGCTACTTGGGAGACAAATTCCAGATCCAGCCTTGGCCACCATCCTAGGGAAACCTGAAGAAATTAGCAAGAGCTTGTGTCAAAAATCAAAAATATACATCCACTGGACATGGATCACCCCTTTCATTTTAGGTGAGTGGATTTTTTTTGAGTTTTAGGCCAACCTGATCTACATATCCTTCAAGGCCAGCCATGACTATATAGTGAGACTTTGTCTCAAATAATTATGGTAAAGGAATAAAAGATGGAAGAAGGGTATGGTGACTCATGCCGATAACCCAGTAAGTCGGGAGGCTGGGGAAGACGGACTGACAGCACTTGAAGTCAGTAGAAGCTATACAGTGAGTTCTGGGCCAGCCTCGGGTACACAAGATCCTATCTCAAGAAACAACAGTAACAAAACAAAGGATAGTGATGGAAATGATCTCCTTCACCATTGTCACAAGGGCTAGCGCAGTCACCCTACAGGTAGACATTTCTGACACCACGTAGCTTTTTGTTCACTCATTTTGACAAACTAAGGGCTGCAGTAATTTCAGTTAAAAAAAAAAATTACTGCCGGGCGGTGGTGGCGCACGCCTTTAATCCCAGCACTTGGGAGGCAGAGGCAGGTGGATTTCAGAGTTCGAGGCCAGCCTGGTTTACAGAGTGAGTTCCAGGACAGCCAGGACTATACAGAGAAACCCTGTCTCGAAAAACCAAAACCAAAACCAAAACCAAAAACAACAAAAAAAAAAAAAATTACTAATGCTACTTAAATGGTTTTTATTTACTCCCTCAAGAAACATTCTACAGCATTTAAAAACTATATATATTCATCACATACCAATAGGCTGCAGCTTTCAGTTAAATGAAGATTCCTTTCTTAATCGTGCCTCTTTACTTTAACAAAATCAACCTATAAAGATTATCATGTACTGGGAGATTTGAGACAACGCACAAGATTCTTTAAAAAGAAATTAATTTAAGCCAGGTGTCCATGCCTTTAGCACTCAGGAGGCAGAGACAGACAGAGCTCTTTGTGAATTTGAGGCCAACCTAGTCTACAGTGTAACTTCCAGGACAGCCAGGCTACACAGTTAAACCCTGTCTCAAAAAAGGGGGGTGGGGGATTGGGGGGTGGACTGGAACTGATAATAAGAGATGTTTCTCAACATCTATCCCAATTCAAAAATCATTCCTGGAGAGATGGCTCCGTGGTTAACAGCACTTGCTGTTCTTACAGAGGACCTGGGTTCAGCTCCCAGCACCACCATATGGCAGTTCACAGATGTATTTAACTATCGTTCCAGGAGATCCAAAGAATCCTTTCCCGGCTGGCACACAGATCAAGCATGGACACTGTACTGGGACATACAGTTAGGTGACACACACACATGAAATAAAAATCAATAAATCTTTCTTAAAGTTTCTTTCCTTCCTTTTTTTTTTTTTTTTTTTTTTTTGTTTTGTTTTTTGAGACAGGGTTTCTCTGTGTAGCCCTGGCTGTCCTGGAACTCACTCTGTAGACCAGGCTGGCCTCGAACTCAGAAATCCGCCTGCCTCTGCCTCCCAAGTGCTGGGTTTAAAGGCGTGAGCCACCACTGCCCGGCTTTCCTTCCTTTTTGAAACAGGGTTTCATTCTGTAACTCAGGCTGCCCTGGAACTTGATACTTAGTTCAAGTCTGATCCTGGGCTTGCTCTTTTAAAAAGTTTTGCTACATTTTTTTTTATGTGCATGCATGGGTGAGTGCGTGCCTGCCTGCGTGCGTGCCTGCATGCGTGCCTGCGTGCGTGTAGGATGATGATGAAGAACCTGCTACGGTGCACATACGGAGTAAGGAAAAGGACAGACTGTAGGTTGGTTCTTCTACCAACTCTGAGATCAAATCCAGGTTGTAGGCTTGAAGGCAGGACTAAAGGGATGAATGGGCCACTATGCCCAGTTTGAAAGCAGTCTTACCTACTGAGCCCTCTCTCACCAGC